GCCTTCTCGTTTTGTTTTATTTCATTGAGTTGATCTTCAGTCTCTGATATTCTTTTTTTCTATGTGGTCGATTCAACTATTGAAACTTGTGTATGCTTCATGAAGTTCTCATGCTGTGTTTTTCAGCTCCATCAAGTCATTTATATTCTTCTCTAAGCTGTTTATTCTTGTTAGCATTTCATCAAACCTTTTTTCAAGGTTCTTACTTTCTTTGCATTGGGTTAGCACGCGTTCTTTTAGCTCTGAGAAGTTTGTTATTACCCACTTTCTGAAGCCTGTTTCTGTCAATTCATCAGATTCATTCTCCATCCAGCTTTGTTCCCTAGCTGGTGAGAAGTTGTGATCCCTTGGAGGAGGAGAGGTATTCTGGTTTTTGGTGTTTTCATCCTTTTTGCACTGGTTTCTTCCCATCTTAGTGGCTTTGCCTAACTGTGGTCTTTGTAGTTGGTGACTTTCAGATGGGGTCTCTGAGTGGACATCCTTTTTGTTGATGATGAAGTTATTTCTTTCTGTTTCTTAGTTTTCCTTCCAACAGTCAGGCCCCTCTGCTGTAGGACTGCTGGAGGTCCACTCCAGACCCTGCTTACCTGGGAACCACCTGCAGTGGCTGCAGAACAGTAAGGGTTGCTGCTGGTTTCTTCTTCTGTTATCTTTGTCCCAGAAGGGTACCCACCTGATGTTGGCCTGCGTTCTCCTTTATCAGGTGTCTCTTTGGGTATCCAGGGGTCAGGGAGTTGCTTGAGGAGACAGTCTGTCCCTTATAGGAGCTCAGTGCTGTGCTGGGAGCTCTGCTGTTCCATGCAGAGCTGCTGGGCATGTACGTTTAAGTCTGTTGCAGCGGAACTCATAGCCACCTCTTTTCCCAGGTGCTCTGTCCTAGGAAGGTTAGTCTTTATTTATAAGTTCCTGATGTGCGGCTGCCTTTTTTCATAGATGCCCTGCCCTGCACAGAGATAGTCTAATCACAGTCTGCCAGCAGAGGCGTTGCTGAGCTGCTGTGGGCACTGCACAGCTGCTATGTGAACTTCCTTGAGGCAGTTAGGATTGCCTCGGTATTAGCAGACTGCCTTGGTAGTGGTGGTGCCCTTGACCCCACTGAGCTGAACCATGCTGGGTCCAGCTGCACTTGCTGCAAAACTCTCAATCCAGAGCATTTCAGATTGCTTGTTTTCTGGGGTGGTACCTGCCGAGCCAGATCACCTGGCTCCCTGTCTCAGTCCCCTCCCTTTCAGTTGAATGGGCGGCTCTGTCTCCCAGGAGTTCTGGGTGCCAGTTGAAACTGCCACCCAGATCTGTGTGAGTTTCTGTGTGCCATCCCACGGCACTGGCTCAAGCAGCCTTGCTGGAAACTTGTGGCACTTTTCAGCCCAGGAATCTCCTGGTCTGTGGGCAGTGAAAACTCATTTGGAAATTCGGTGAACACTCACCCTCTGCATTGTTCTTTCTGGGAACTATACTCCAGAACTGTTCCTATTTGGCCATCTTGGATCCTTCCTCTCCTAGTTCTTTTTTAATGGTACTAGTGAGTTTTGTCAGGAGAGGGCACTGGAGCCCACATTAAGATCAGCTTTGCGCAGCCTTGTCACAGGGGCAAGGTTAAAAAAATTCAGTAATACTGTTTTTAACTACTGAAAGACAGTATGACTTAAAAACTTGACACAAATATGTTATTTTATTATCCACATACTGAAAAAAAATAGAGGAAATTGGCAAGTTTTATCTTTTCCTCAGATCTATTTCCCAACCTAAAAAACTGATCTGTCTTTCTTTTCTCTCTTCAGACTCCAATTAGGGTTTTCTTGATTAATGCTGACAAATTTAAACATTGACCTCTAAAATAAATACTTTTACTCTTGTTTTCTAACAAAATTGTGTATTAAAAATCAATTTTAAAGGCTATTTGATAGATTCTTGGGGGCTTGAAATCTTTGGACAGCTCCAAAATTTCTGTCTAATGCTGGCTTTCTGTTCTGCTCCCTGTGGGATGACTTAAATTAAGTGTATTTAAAATAGAACCTGGGGGCCGGGTGTGGTAGCTCACACCTGTAATCCCAGCACATTGGGAGGTTGAGGCAGGTGGATCACCTGAGGTCAGGAATTCGAGATCAGCCTGACCAATGAAACCCCATCTCTACTGAGAAAATAAAATAAAATAGAACCTGTTAGTCTGGGTGTGGTGGCTCATGCCTGTAATCCCAGCACTTTGAGAGGCTAAACTTGGGAGGATGGCTTGAGTTCACTTGAGTTCAAGGAGACCTTGAGCCCAGCCTGCACAACATAGGGAGACCCTGTCTCTACAAAAAATTTAAAAATTAGCTAAATGTGGAGGCACGTGAGTGTGTGGTCCTAAGCAGTAGAGAGGCTGAGGTGGGAAAATTGCTTGAGCCCAGAAGGTCGAGGCTGCAGTGAGTTGTGATTATGCCACTGCATCCAGCCTGGGTGACAGAGCGAGTCCCTGTCTCAAAAACAAAACAAAACAAAAAAAAATGGAAAAAAGGAGAACCTGTTATCCCTTCAAGTGGCCATATTAAATACTCTTCATTAATTTCAAATACATTTTCACCAAAGGCAGCTGAATTGGGGGAAAGAGAGAAAACTTTGAGGGCACAGAATAAAACTTAAAAGTTGAATCTTGGCTGGATGCAGGGACTCATGCTTATAATCCTGCCACTTGGGAGGTGAGGTGGAGGTGGGAGAATTGCTCAAGGCCAGTCAAGACCAGCCTGGGCAGAGAGCAAAACCCTGGCTCTCAAACATATATATATGTATAAAATTCATAAGTTTGAAATGAGAAGACCTTTCTAAACACCTCACAGAATCTAAAGGCCATGAAAAAAAAAATCCCTAAGAAAACGTTAATGTAAAACTAAATAAAAATAGGCTTAAAGACAAAAAAGAAAAAAAAACAAACCAAAAACAAAAACAGGAAAAAACCGTAAGCAGCAGATGTGATATACAAAGGGGTTTCTCAAATGTATGAAGAATTCTTTTTTATGTATCAATTAAAAATCTTTAGAACTCAGCTGGGCGTGGTGTGGCTCATACCTGTAATTCCAGCACTTTGGGAGGCTGAGGCAGGCAGATCACTTGAGGCTTGGAGTTTGAGACCAGCCTGGCCAACATGGCGAAATCCCATCTCTATTAAAAATACAAAAATAAGCCGTGTATGGTGGTGCGTGCCTGTAATCCCAGGTACTTGGGAGGCTGAGGCACGAGACTCACTTGAACCTGGGAGGTGGAGGTTGCAGCGAGCCAAGGTTGTGCTACTGCACTCCAGCCTGGGCAACAGAGTGAGACTCTGTCTTCAAAAAAAAAAAAAAAAAAAAAAAAAAATCTCTAGAGTTCAATAGCAAAAAGTGAGCTGATGCCATGAAAACAGGCAATTCATAAAAGAAATCAAATGTCCAAAAATCGTACGGAAACACTATTGTAGCTAGTCCTGAGGATAAAAATAAAGATGATTCTTCATGTATTGGACTGGCAGTGATTAAAAGAGTCACAGAAGGCAGACTGGTGAATGAAGAAGTAGAGAGTAAGTTGCTCTCCCTGCACCGTGGGTAGGAGTGCAAATCAGTGCAGCAGTTCTGGAGGGGAGTTGGCAATATTTAGAAATATTTACAAGTTATATACCCTTTGTCCCGGTAATCCCCCTTTGTGAATCTACCTGAGGGAGATAATTATCCAAATGCGAAAATATGTGTGCCCAAGGATGTTTATTGCTGCTTTGCTGTTAAAAATCCAGAACACTAAAAACTACCCTAAAATCATCACTATGAGATGCTATTGTTCTCAATAATCAATACAATTTATTATAATGCTCTGCACTTTACTGGTATGAAAAATGTCTATAACATAATGCTGAGGGAAGTACCAGTATACTTACCTCTTCCAGGGCCCTGTGTGTAACATATGCCAGTTATATAAAATTCAGATGTTTATACATACAGAGACATACAGAAGGATATTCATCAAAATGTTGAGTTGTTTCCACTTGAAAGAGGGTTTTAAGGAAATTTAAAAAGAAACTTTTTGATTTGTATTTTTCTGTGACATTGGAATTTAAACAAATAAGTATGCATCATGTTTACAAGGACATCAAAGCTATTTCTAAAAAGAGAAAACATCAAAAATTATCTTCGAATTAATCCTTTATAATTTTATTTTTTAACCAAGGAAAGAGTATGATCTGGTACTCCTTTTGGAGGTTAATTTCTAGATTACCAAAGGGAAATGTTTTTCACATGTGGTCCTGGGTTATCTCTATCAGAATCACCTACGATAATCACCTTTTTTAAACTTAGAGTTCCAGGCCTCCTTTCCTGCCACTACTCTACCCCAGCCAAACTCAGTAAGTCAACATATCTAAGGGTGAGGGCCTAGATAGCTTCCAAGTATACCTGGTGACATGTATGTACATTTAAGTCTGTGAATCATTACTTAGGAGAAGAAAAAGAGTTAGAAAATTTAACTATGTCATTCATATTTCTTTTTTTGTTTTTCTTTTTTTTTTTTTTTTGAGACAGGGTCTTACTCTGTCACCAGGCTGGAGTGCAGTGGCGTGATCTGGGCTCACTGAAACTTCCACCTCCCAGGTTCAAGCAATTCTCCTGCCTCAGTCTCCCAAGTAGCTGGGATTACAGGTGCACACTACCACACTCAGCTAATTTTTGTATTTTTAGTAGAGACAAGGTTTCACCATGTTGGCCAGGATGGTCTCGATCTCTTGACCTTGTGTTCTGCCTGCCTTGGCCTCCCAAAGTGCTGGGATTACAAGTGTGAGCCACTGGGCCTGTCCATATTTGTTTTTCTAGTCGCCCTCCCTCACTTTCTTTCTTTTTGGCTTTCCACCTGTTTTCCCACAATCTGCAGAAGCTGAAATCAAAATGAACTAAGGGCATTAAATATCAGGTGTTTTAGGGATTAAAACATTTAGGAAAATCTACAGAAAAGCTGGTATTCATAGCAACCACCAATCCTTTTGTTTCAATTTCACATCTCACCTGGTACTCGGATTTTTGATGAAGCCAGTGTTTATGAAATTAGGACAGAGACATGTTGTTTTGACTCCAGTTGTTTTTAAGGCAGCCAGTTCATCCGTCAAAGCTCTATGAAATCCAACAGCAGCAAATTTGCTTGAACTGAAAATAAAGAGAGAATTTACAAAATAATTCAAGAATTCTGACATGTCTGCCTGTTCTCAGTTCAGCATGGCCCCCTGCAGAGCAATGTGGATTCCCCGAATCTCAGGCTCCAGTCCAGATCTACTGCATCAGAGCCTACATCTTACAGGATTCTTAGGTAAATCTGCAGGCACATTCAGGTCTGAGAAGCACTGACATAGGATATTACTGCATCCTAGCATCACTTATGGAAAAAGAACATTTCCTTAAAAAGCCTTTTAAAGAAACTTAGCAGAGTATTTGTTTTTGTTGTTGTTTCCATAAAATTCAGTGTCACTATAAGCTGTTCCTTACTTACTTTAAAATGTTCATGGAATTTGCTGAAAACTTTTCCTGGAAGAATCCTATTCTTCCTTTAAGTCACAGTTTCACTTCCTCAGAGAGGCCTTTCCTAATCCCCAGTCTAAATTATTTTCTCATTATATAGTAATTTGCAGTTTTCTATGATAGTATCTATCTCAGATTTGTAACTGACCATTCATTTGAGATTAAGTTTTTTTTTTAAAACATCTGTCCCTCATACCTTTCCTACAAGCTCCATGACTGTTTTCGTCACCAATGAATCTCCAGGACCTAGCACAGTGCTTGGCTCTTAGGTGCTCCTTGAATATTTGTCAAATGAATGAATCACAGTGCAAAGCATTTCTTATTATATACCTCTTTCATTTGGTAATAGTAGTGAAATTACTTATTCTAAAAGGACATTACTTTCTCAGGTTTTTTTTTTTTAAAGAGCATTATTGAGATATAAATTCTTATAGTCATACAAATCATTCACTTAATGTATACAATTCAATTTTTTGATATATTAACTTAAAAATTGTGTTATAATATATATCATGTAAAATGTGTCATTTTAACCATTTTAAAGTGTACAATTCAGTGGCATTAATTATCAGATAATCTTTTATTCTGTTAAATCTGTGTGAATTAGCAATTATACAAAGTAGCTATAAATTCTGGCCAGTTAATCTATGCTTTGGAAGATAGAAAGCTGTGGAAATGTCTCTCTTACCTTTTTAAATAAAGCTTAGGCACATACTGAAGGTGAAATAATTTGGTTGTGTCCCACCCAAATCTCATCAACAATTGTAATCCGAATTATAATCCCCATGTGTTGAGGGAGGGAACTGGTGGGAGATGATTGGATCATGGGGGTGGTTTTGCCCGTGCTGTTCTTGTGGTAGTGAGGGAGTTCTCACAGATCTGATGGTTTTATAAGTGTTTGGCAGTTCATCTCTTCTTCATTCTCTCACTCTCTCTGTCTCTTGTTCGTTCTCTCTCTCTCTCTGTCTCTGTCTCTTTCTTTCTCCTGCTACCATGTAAGACGTGGATGCTTCCCCTTCCTCTGTGATTGTAAGTTTCCGGAGGCCTCCCCGGCCATGCAGAGCTATGAGTCAATTAAACTTCTTTCCTTTATAAATTGCCTAGTCTTGGGCAGTTATTTATAGCAGAGTGAGAATGGACTAATACAGAAGGCTTAAAAGAAAGATTGCTAGCTAGATTAAATTATATGAGATAAAAAGCTTCTATATATTAAAAAGCAACATACATAAAAATCATATCTAAAATTGATTACTATGTGCTAGACACTGCCCTCAGTTATTCTGATGCATTTTGAAGTTTTTTTTTGGGGGGGGGTCTTTATCATAAATTTTGTACAGTGATGTAATCATAGCTCACCTCATCCTTGGAACTTCTGTGCTCAGGCAATCCTGTCACCTTAGCCTCCCAAGTAGTTGGGACTACAGGCATATGCCACGACACTTGAATAATCATTTTATTTTATTGTAGAGATGGAGGTCTCACTATGTTGCATAGGCTGGTCTTGAACTCCTGGCCTCAGGTCATACTCTTGCCACAGTCTCTCAAGGCACTGGGATTATAAGCATGAGCCACAGTACCTGGCTTATTCTGAAGAATTATTTCATTTAATCTTCATAATACCCCTACAATATATATTATGATTCTCATTTACCAAAGAGGAAACTGAGATATAGAGGGGTTATCAAACTTGCCTGAAGATACAAAAACAAAGTGGCACAATTAGGTTTTACTGGTGGGTAAAAGCCAGGCTTATGTACGATACCCTAAACTTTATTAACTCCAAGCATGTTAAGAGGCAAGTGAGAAACTGGTAAAGCATTTGCGACATATAAGACAAGGATAAGGTTAATATATGGCAACTTTTATAAATGAGTAAGACAATACTCTAATAGATAAATGGCTAGAGGACATTCATGGAAAAATAATAATATAAAAATACCAGTAGATATGGGCATATAAAATGATTTACTTTCGGAATAATTCATATAAAAACAACGTAAAACAACACAGAATGTCACTTTCTCACTGGCCAGGGGCCCCAAATGATCTTGGGACCTCAAAAGAAAAGGGATTTACCCAACCCATAGCTGTTTAAGGGTACAAACCCATGGCAGGGCTCAGCTTTAAAAAAGTCTTATCTGAGATTCCTTATAAAACAGAGTTCCATCAAAACCAATTAAAAGGCCTATTTGAAAAATATTCTCACTGCACTTTATACAAATAATCAGGCCAAGTATAATAAAGCAAATCAGTCTTACCATAATTTGTCTTTAATAAAAATGGGAAACTGGAGAGAAAATATTATATTTCAACAACTATAGTATACTTGTTATTAAATTCTGGTCTCATTAGTTGTTTTTAAGTTTGTTTCTGCAATTTAGGCTAACCCTGTTTATTCCTGTAAACCAACCAGAAATCTCTAACTGCTGCTCAGAAGAAACAAGAGGGATGCGTAATGTAAATGTCCGGATCAGTATTCTAATCCTAGGCACACTGCAATCAGCTAGCAACCCCATAACAGTTTGCTATCAACAGTTGCCCAGTTCATGGAAAGTCTTCTAATTTAGTTTACTTAGAATAACTTTACTTATTTTGCTTTCCTCTCATGGAATATATTGCTGTTATACTCTTTGTGTAGGAGCACAGATAGGCTTACTAAAAGTTTTCTTAAACTATACACTTATTAACCTCCCAGATATCACCTCTTGTCAAAACTCAAGAGTCATGAATGGCTCTTGCCATACTAATGCTTTCTGACTAAAGTCCTCTCTACCCTGAACACAAGAGACCCTAATAGTTAGACAGGAATGTCATGGCCCCATTCAGCCTGAAGAAGTTACAAAAGATGGATTTTCATCCCTCTGCAACCCTTAGGATTAAGGATTCTCTTATAAAAGGGATGGGGGAAATACCAGAAGTGTGTGAAGCAGAACAACTCCATCTTGAATAGGAGTTGGGTAAAATGAGGCTGAAAACTACTGGACTGCATTCCCAGATGGTTAAGGCATTCTAACTTACAGGATGAGATAGGAGGTCAGCATACGATACAGGTCATAAAGACCTTGCTGATAAAACAGTTTGCAGTAAAGGAGCCAGCCAAAACCCACCAAAACCAAAATGGCCACGAGAGTGACCTCTGGTCGTCCTCACTGCTACACTCCCACCAGTGCCATGACAGTTTACAAATGCCATGGTAACATCAGGAAGTTACCCTATATGGTCTAAAAAGGGGAGATATGAATAACCCACCCCTTGTTTAGCACATCTTCAAGAAATAACCATAAAAATGAGCAACTAGCAGCCCTCGGGGCTGCTCCCTCTATGGAGCAGCCATTCTTTTATTCCTTTACTTTCTTAATACACTTGCTTTCACTTTGCACTGTGGAATCCTCCTCAATTTCTTGTGTGAGATCCAAGAATTCTCTCTTGGAGTCTGGATCGGGATCCCTTTCTGGTAACATTTCTGCATGGTGAGATTATCCATAAATTTTGTTTTTTCTTTTACTAAAGTGTATTTTCTGATTTTACTTAAGTGACCAAAAATGCAAGAATATATTGAAACTCAGAGTTAATGATCTTGAGTGTGTAAAAGGAATAACATATTTTTGAACTTTAGGGTGAACCTATGTAGAGACACATGTATATATATACGTGAAAGCTAAAAGTGAGTAGATTTTTCCCCCCTGCACTTTGTAACATTACATCAAATTCCTTCTTATTAGAAATAGTCTAAATTATTCGGACAACTTGGAGGGCTGAAAAAAAAATAGTCTGAATTAGTATTACTTATTCCAAATTCTTCTTTTTTTTTTCCTTTTGTGTTGAGGTCTGACTTTGTTGCCCAGGCTGGAGTGCAGTGGCAAAACCGTGGCTCACTGCTGCCTTGAATTTCCGGGCTCAAGCTATCATCCCACCGCAGCCTCCTGCGTAGCTGGGACTATAAGCACACACCACCACACTTAGGTAATTTAAAATAATTTTTGTAGAGACAAGGTCTTGCTATGTCACCCAGGCTAGTTTTGAACTCCTGAGCTCAAGCAATCCTCCTGCCTTGGTCTCACAAAGCCTGGGGGATTACAGATGTGCGCCACCATGCCTGGCCCCAAATCATTCTTTTAAATAACATTTTATTACAAGCTCATGATCAGGACTCAGTTTTGCTGAGCATTCCAATACTGGTAACTTTCAGGCTTATAAATTGGCTATTTGGGTTGATACAATATATTAGCCAGCTAATTATTTTCTTTTAAAAATCAAAATACTTGTGAACAAATTACTTAGCAAGCAGCAAAAAACATTTTAGAATAGAATCAAAAGATTCACCCTTCACCACCAAAAATCCATTTCTTTTATCTTGCATTCTTCATATTAAACATTAAAACTGTTAAACTACAAACTCTTAAAAAGAAATTAAAATATTTTTTCCTAAGATAGGTGACTAGAGCTAGAATACATTCTTTAATGTGGCTGTAGTAACTCAGGACAATGACAGGTGAGGGCTGAATTACAGGGAAAAGAATAATCTTATTTTCCCTCTCATTACATCCCAACAATTAGGCGTCAAAGCATATGTGATGGATTCCACTGGGGCAAAGCATTCTGGAAGCTAAAATTAGAGGTGGGTCCTCCCTGTTTTGTGTAAATATCAGGAAGTAGAATTGAAATGTAATACCAACAGGCAACCTCCTGTTATTGAACACTTGCAGGATTTCAGATTTTATACTAAGGGCAATACGTTGTATGATTTAAACCTTATGTCATTCTAATAAGTTAGATATTTTTATTAACCTATTTTACAAATGAGGGAAATGAAGCACAGAGTAGAGTAACTTGCTTAAGGTCACATAGCTGGTGAGTGATTGAGTCAAGATTCATAATGCCATTGTAAATGACACTACATCATTCATAAATAACATTTTTCCTAGAAGCAACCAAACGTTCATAAATAATAGGATGGACAAATAAATTGTTGCCTGGTCATTTGAAGCAACACTATGCAGCCATGAAAATGATCACACTATAGCTACCAACCACAACATGGATACATCTCACAAATACAGTGTGATTCCATGGACATAAAGATCAAAAATAGGCAAAATTAGTCTAAGGTGTTATAAGTCAATATACTGGTTACCTTTGGGAAGGAAGGAGGAATTGGTGATTGGGAAGGATTCCAAGAGAGGGCTCTGGGGTCCTGTAATGTTCTATTTTTTTGACCTGCATGGTAGTTAAATGGATGTATCCACTTTGTAGTAACTCATTGAGCTGCACACTTATGATTTCCTCATTCTTATAAACGTATATCACGTGTCAATAAAAAAGATTATGTTTAAAAAAGCAATGTCTCAGTTTAATTGCCTAATTGTTAATAATGTCTGATAAACACTCCTTTCTGCTGGCGTAGTCTTTAGCGCTTCTCTGTGATCAAAGTCCTGTCATTGATTAGATGCTGAGAAAAACCAGAGCTGGCTGAGTTGAAGATAACTGCGGTCGGTAAGGATCACAGATTCAGTAGCTCGGGCCAGTGATAGCTGAGGATTCTCAAGAGGAGTTCTCCAAGGGCCAGCAAAGCACAGCTCTGTACAAAGCTGGAAGTGTACAAGCCCCTTGTGTGGCTGCAACCCTGTGTGTTAGCCCGAATGACACCCTGGTGTGATTTATTAGAAGCCACTTCCCTTCTCAAGCAATTTGACTTCCATCTGCTGGAAAAATCCTTCAAGTCTAATAGGACCTGAATGTGAATACAACATGACAGAATAGTGTAGTGCACAATCTGCACAACTGTGTGTGTCATCCGTGCTTTGACAGTACCTTATGAACCCTTTATTTCTGCCGAAAACATCATCACTAATCATGAAGATAAATTTCTCACAAAAAGCACATTTTTCTCTTGGTTTTCAATGCGAAACACTCTGTTGAACAGAATCAAAGCAGAACCCAAAGAGTGACAGTATTTACTATGCAAATGGAAGAAGCAGCATGACAGGGCTCCCTGTCCTGCTGGGTTCTCTGATCCTCCTTGCCTATCCCAGTGCCTGGTGACTAAGATAAGAGGCTGGGGGTGGGTTGGGAGGATGTTGTGTAGCACTGAGGGAGGGGCGGGGATTGCAGGAGAGGGACAGCATTTGTAGCCATCTTTCATCAAGGAAGTGGAATAAATGCCATATTTTATTAGCCTTTGATGGCTGGGTTAATCACTTAACTTAAAGTGGCTCTGAAAGAGACAATACACAATCTTGATATCATAGTTCTGTTCTGTGACTGCTTCACCAGTTATTTCACCTTTTTTTTCTTTTTGAAAATTCAGTCCAAATCTATATTTATTTATTTATTTATTTATGTTTGAGGCAGAGTCTCACTGTATCACCCAGGCTGGAGTGCAGTGGTGCGATCTCAGCTCTCTGCAACCTCTGCCTCCCAGGTTCAAGCGATTCTCCTGCCTCATCCTCGCAGGTAGCTGGGACTACAGGCATCCAGCAACAGGCTCAGCTAATTTTTGTATTTTTTGGTGGAGATGGTGTTTCACCATGTTGGCCAGACTGGTCTCGAACTCCTGACCTCAGGTTATCTACCCTCCTTAGCCTCCCAAAATGCTGACATTACAGGCATGAGCCACCACACCTGGCCCAAAGTCTATATTTATTTAAAACTATTAGAAAATGAATATATGAAAATATATGTTCAGAAAAAAAGAGAAAGAAGGAAAGGAAGGAAGAAAGGAAAAAAATATAGATGAGCAAAAAGAACAAAATAAAAATCACTTAATTACTTGTCTTGCCATTTCCTAAGAATAACCACTTTTTAGGTGTGATTAGAATAAAACAGTTTGGTATACACCCTTGCAAATGCAAGTTGTATAAAAACAAATTACCCTCCTATGCCTGTGTCTACATATTTACACACATATCTATAGCTACATATGTAACGATATCCATGTTTTTACAATTTAGATATTTAATTCCAAAGGAGAAAACAAATTTGAACGTTATATTATATATGCATGAATATTTACACAATCATCATTCAACATTTAAAAAGTTATTATTTGCTTAAACATACAATAAATATTCAGTAAAACATAGAATATAGCCAAGAACTGGTAAGGTGTGTGTAACCAGTAGAATCATCCCGGATACAGTGGCCTCACTGATCTGCCCAGTGGAGTATAGGGTCACTGTGAACTGCTATTTCAAGATTTTCCATTATTACAAGGGCATGCTTTTTAAAATGGATAACCATTAAAATTTTTTAAAAAAGCAATTCCATTGCTTGGATTCTTTTAATGTTTAAAATTCCACTTTTAGAAAATTAATATATGGAAATATATGTTCAGAAAAAAAGAAAGAGAAGGAAAGAAAGGAAGAAAAAAAGAAAATATAGATAAGCAAAAAGAACAAAATAAAAATCACTTAATTACTTGTCTTGCCTTTACCTAAGAATAACCACTTTTTAGGTGTGATTAGAATAAAACACTTTGGTATATGCCCTTGCAAATACAAGTTGTATAAGAACAAATCACCCACCTACGTCTAATATTTTGTTTCTGCAACAATTTACTCATTTTTATTCATATTAAGAATTATCAATATTTATTTTTATTACAATTGTTAATAATTAACACTATTATTCTTGTTTTGTAAAGAGATGAAAAATGCTTTAAATGTGGTTGGCTCATAACTGAATAAATTTCCAGCTGCCACCTCTAGCAGGGTCCTCTGGAAAGGGATCAGTGTTTGATAATGCTGTTAGACAAGAGACTTTGTGCAACTCTTTCTGCCTATTTTTTTTTGACAGTTTCCAATAATACACTGGACAACTTCAAGTCTAGTATGATTATAAAGAGGGCTCTCATTAGACAGGGTAAGAAATCTCACATACAAGGTAAGCATAAGAACCGGTGAAGGAAACACATGTTCACATACCAGTAAGCCAGTAAGAATGGGACCACGGTGTGTCCGGCTGCTGAAGCCACAGTGACAATATGGCCGTGATTATTCTTCATCATGGCTGGAAGAAATGCCTTTGTAGTCTAGAAATAGTTTTTATTAAAAGAGAAAAAAATACTATACTTCAGACTCACAGACCCATTGGGAATATTTTTCAACAAAAGTATTTATTTTTTAACATTGGTCCTGGCATAAATGAAAAAAATATGAACTAACTCACAAACGCAGCAACAATAAGGTGACAGGATATGATGTCCACATTAGAAAACCTAAGCAAAACAATGGCTACTGAAAGTTTGAGAATTCATCTCATTTAAATTGCTAAATTCAGCCAGGCTTGGTGGCTCACAGCTGTAATCCCAGCACTTTGGGAGGCCAAGTCAGGCGGATCACTTAAGGTCAGGAGTTTGAGACCAGCCTGGCCAACATGGTGAAACCCCGTCTCTACTAAAAATACAAAAATTAGCTGGGCATAATGGCATGCATCTGTAATCCCAGCTACTTGGGAAGCTGAGGCATAAGAATTGCTTGAACCTGGAAGGCGGTGGTTGCAGTGAGCTGAGATTATGCCACTGCACTCCAGCCTGGGTGACAGGGAGAGACTCTGTCTTGAAAAAAAAAAAAATAATAATAATGCTACATTTTATGTTCTCTAGCCCTCTGCCTCTTGTTATTGATGTCTTCCATTATCTTATATATTGAATAGGAATAATAATCTAGAGTTATCAAAAGAATTTGCATTTAATGTGAAATTGTTTTTTAAAAAGTTTGCTTACATTATCAAAATATGGATATGAATAGCAGTTTTCTATTGGTCATGAAATAATTCATGCAATAAGTATTTTGTGTACCTACTATGTGCTGGGGATGAAAAAACAAATAAGATAATACCCAGCTAGGTGCAATGGCTCACACCTGTAATCCCAGGACTTTGGGAGGCTGAGGCAGGAGGATCACTTGAGCCCAAGAATTCGAGATCAGCCTGCGCAACATGGAAAAAAACTCATCTCCACAAAAATACAAAAACTTGCTGGGCATGGTGGTGTACTCCTGTAGTCCCAGCTTCTAGGGAGGCGGAGGTGGGAAGATCACTTGAGCCTAGGAAGCTGAGGCTGCAGTGAGCCAAAATCACATCCCTGCACTCCAGCCTGGGCAACACAGAGAAACCCTGTATGCAAACATCAACAACAAAAAGAGACAGTAACCTATATTTGAACAAACATGCAAATATAAGATATGTGTCAATAACTTGGGAATATTAACATAAAATAATACTGCATTTTTATCAACCCCAATATACTTTTGAGATTGGTCATCCCAAACTCACATCCAAGAAAACTTTGAGGGACCTTTTTAAGAACTGGTTATTTGGGCAATATTTGGAGACTTCAGAAATATACATAGCATATGTACATATATATAATTTAAGACCTTCAAAGGTGAGGTTTACAATAGGTTTGCAATTTTAGGGCCAGGAAATAACATGAGGCCTGAGCCTCGTACGAATCTGAAAGTCAGGACAGTGGCTCATGCCTGTAATCCCAGCACTTTGGGAGGCTGAGGCAGGTGAATCACTTGAGCCAGTCAAGACTAGCCCGGGCAACATGGTGAAACCCTGTCTCTACTAAAAATACAAAAATTAGCCTGGCATGGTAGCATTTGTAGCCCCAGCTACTTGTCGGGGCTGGAGTGGGAGGATCTCTTGAGCTTGGGAAGTTGAGGCTGCAGTGAGACAAGATCACACCCCTGCACTCCAGCCTGGGAAACAGAGTGAGACCCTGTCTGAAATAAAAAAAGGAATCTGAAAGCAAACCAGATTCACCTTTATAAAATCATAGATGATGACTCAGATAGTCTCCGACTCCTTTCTTTGCCTAAAAAGCATCACATAGAGATGTGAGAACCTAGCTTAGAATTAAAACATATATGAAACCTGACATTTATTATTAATTTATTATTGTTGTTATTAATATTGTCAGTGAGGAAGAATGACAGAATTTGGTCATAGCATGAAAAATGATCTCTTTGTATAATGTTATCCCCGATGCCTGAAGAAAACTTTAGCGTTGATTTAATACTTACTTATGTCTGCTGAAAGCCCCACTTTAATCTTTGGGATTTTCAAAAGGAATATTTTTGTAAAAGAAATCCTACTCACCCAGAAATGTGCAAGTACATTAACTTCAAAAGTCTTTTCAATCTGAGGATCTTGTGTAGCAAACAAATCTGATGTGTAGACTACACCAGCATTATTTACTAAAATACTAACATCTCCAACTTCTGCTTTCACCTTCAAAAAACAAAATAAGAAAAGTATATTCATTAAGAGGTGTGAGGGTAAGTTTATACACAATGGATTTTTTTTTTTTTTTTTTTTTGAGACAGATTCTTGCTCTGTTACCTAGGCTGCAGTGCAGTGGCAAAATCTTGGCTCACTGCAACCTCCACCTCCTGGGTTCAAGTGATTCTCCTGCCTCAGTTGTATGTGTTTTTCTGCTAGATATGGAAAAAAGTGATTTTGTAATCCATGTGTCAACAGGGGAAAAAAATCTTTTGATTTTAGGCACTTATGTCCAAAATAGATCTATCTGCAAGTGTAGCAGGTGGAAATTTTCTTTTGCAATTTAGTCTCTTGACTTCGTTCTGCTGACTCTAGCTTAAGAGGCATTTGGCTAAGTAGCATTTTTAAAAACATTACCTCAAAAGGTAAGCAAAAAAAGTTAAATTGATGTGGCAAAATCAGGGACTACTATGGAGAATTATGGGAAATTGATGACATTATTAAGCTGGCCACATTTTCTATTTCTATTGATTTTTGTGGTCTCTCTGGTCTATTGTTCAATAGCTCTCCAATTAGGTGGCAGTAGGCTTAAGGGTGAAGAGTCATTTCCTTGGATCTTGAGTCGAGTTTTGGCTCTGCCACTCATTATCTGTTGAACCTTGACCAAGTTACTTAACCTCTTAAAACTTCAATTCTTCCTCTGCAAAATAGAGATAATAATACAAGTTCCTTGTGAGCTGTTGTGGAAACAAATGAAATCAAGCCTGTAAAGGAGCTAACACTGTATCTGGTACACAGAGTAAACTGCTATTACTATCATTATCATTATTTCAAAACCATTTATACTTGTCTAAAAGTAACATTTTTTTGTTTGTTTTTGTTTTGAGACTGAGTCTTGCTCTGTCACCCAGGCTGGAGTGCAGTGGTGCAATCTTGGCTCACTGCAACTTCCATCTCCTGGGTTCAAGCAATTCTCCTGCACCAGCCTCTCAAGTAGATGGGATTACAGGCGTGTGCCACCATGCCTGGCTAATTTTTTGTATTTTTAGTAGAGATGGGGTTTCACCATGTTAGCCAGGATGGTCTCGATCTCCTGACCTTGTGATCCGCCTTCATCGGCCTCCCAAAGTGCTGAGATTACAAGTGTAAGCCACCACCCCTGGCCCAAGTAACATGCTTTAAAGTTCTCTTCTTGATCTGCTCAGGTGTCTATAAAGGTACTTAATATAAAAATATAAGCTGAGCGTGGTTAGAGGCTCATGCCTCTAATTCCAGCTCTTTGGGAGGCCAAGTCAGGCAGATCACTCGAGGTCAGGAGTTTGAGACCAGCCTAGGGGCGGAGGTTGCAGTGAGCCGAAGTCATGTCACTGCACTTCAGCCTGGGCGACAGAGCGAGACCATCTAAAAAAAACCCAAAAAACCAAAACCAAAATATAGAAATATAAATATGAGGTAAATAATATAAAAATACATGTGTGTTTTTCTAATATACATGCATGGTTTGTGTGTTTTCTCTTGAAAATTCTATTTTGGTATTAATTCAGAAGGAAGAACATTTGAGAAATTAAAATGGTTATGTGGAAGGGCTTATGTGAACTCTTACGGCCAGATTTCAAAGGTTGCTGCACGTATCACAGGTGAAATGATTTCAGTTGAGGAAATATAAACAAAAGAACAAGGCTAGCTGCTAAGAGCAATAGAAGGGATCCACGGACTGCGCAGACTATTTGTAGGCCGGGCATGGTGGCTTACATCTATATTCTCAGCACTCTGGGAGGCTGAGGAAGGTTGAGGCCAGGAGTTCAAGACCAGCCTGATCTGATCAACATGGTCAAACTGCATCTCTATTGAAAACACAAAAATTAGGTGGGTGTGATGGTAGGCACCTGTAATCCCAGCTACTTGGAAGCCTGAACTGGGAGGATTGCTTGAACCTGGGAGGTGGAGGTTGCAGTGAGCCAAGATCACGCCACTGTACTCCAGACTGGGCAACAGAGCAAGATCCCATCTCAAAAAAAAAAAAGAAAGAAAGAAAAAGAAAAAAGTTCTGATACTAAAATGGCTACATCAAAATAGGTACTTCAAAATATCTGATAATCACATAGCCTTGTATATACTCTGTTTAGGTATATAAACTTAGAATGATATCAACAAAAGCACTGTAGTTAAAATATATAAAATAGGTTAAAATAATAAAATTACCTTTTTCACAACAGCCTCTTTCCAGATGAGTCTGTTGACTAATGATTTTTTTAGGTAACTAAGGAAGTTGGGCTAGGAGTTCCCCCTAACAATGACTAATGACAAAATTACATAGAAAATATTGGTAGTTCCATTACAATAGTAATAACTAATATTACAAAGTGACTACTGTGGGCAAGTACTGTTCTAAGTAGTTTACATCATTAATTCATTTAATCCTTATTTGTAACCCTATGAGGTAGGTACTATGTGATCTCCATTTCATAGTTGAGTAAACATAGACATAGAAAGGTTAAGGAACTTACCCAAGGTTATATAGCTAGTATTAACTAGAAGAGCAGCTTTTAAACCTGGGAGGCTAGCTCCAGAATTCATGGTCTTAAACACTATTCAATATGCTCATTTCTATGAAGGATGATCATTGTTAATTTAAGTAAAATAGTTATTGATAATGCAGTTTTTTTTGCCTGTAGGTCTTGCTGTTACTGTACTCCCTCCCAGGAAAGCTATTTTCCACCCCTGGCCTGGCCATTTCTACATATCTTTTTTTTTTTTTTTTTTTTTTTTTTTTTTTTTTTTTTTTTTTTTTTTTTTTTTTTTTTGAGACAGAGTCTCTGTTGCCAGGTGCCAGGCTGGAGTGCAGTGGTGCGATCTCAGCTCACTGCAACCTCCGCCTCCTGGGTTCAAGCAATTCTCCTGCCTCAGCCTCCCGAGTAGCTGGGATTACAGGCACACACGACCATGCCCAGCTAATTTTTGTATTTTAGTGGAGATGGGGTTTCACAATGTTGGCCAGGGTGCTCTTGATCTCTTGACCTCGTGATCCACCTGCCTCTGCCTCCCAAAGTGCTGGGATTACAGGTGTGAACCACCGTGCCCATCTACTTATTCTTTTAACATAGCTCAAGCCTCACCAATAATACAAGGGTATCAGTTAGAAGTAAAAGATACAGATTTAAAAATAAAAGTTAAAGATGAACTCAGGCTGAGCATGGTGGCTCACATTTGTAATCCCAACACTTTGGGAGGCCAAAGTGGGCTGATCACCTAAGGTCAGGAGTTCGAGACCAGCCTGGCCAACATGGTGAAACCCCATTTCTACAAAAACACAAAAATTAGCCAGGCATAATGGCACGTTCTTGTAATCCCAGTTACTCGGGGGGCTGAGGCAGGAGAATTGTTCGTGAATCCGGGAGGCAGAGGTTGCAGTGAGCTGAGATCCTGCCATTGCACTCTGGGCCTGGGTGACAGAGTGAGACTCCATCTCAAAAAATAGAAAATTTAAAAAAATGAACTCAAATCTAAAATTCCATAAACAAAGGTTTTCAAGTCTAGCTGAATCAGAATCTTTATATTGCACTGAATCAGAATACCCAGGGGTCAAGTCCAGGAAAGTATCTTAAAGAATCTGCCCAGGTAATTCTGATGACCTTCCTACCATTGAGGTATTTAGTTAACAGGTACAAGTGAGAATGCGTTCAGAGTGAAACCTCATTATATACGGCACATCTCAATTGTATCTAGAAGAGGCAAACAATGCTTTATAGAAAATCTGCTGGGACTGTGACTCATGCCTGTAATCCCAACACTTGGGAGGCTGAGGTGGGTGGATCACCTAAGCTTAGGAGTGCGAGATTAGCCTGGGCAACATGGTGAAACCCCATTTTCTACCAAAAATGCAAAAAATTAGCTGGGCATGGTGGCACACACCTGTGGTCCCAGCTACCTGGGAGGCTGAGGTGGGAGGATTGCTTGATTCTGGGAGGTGGAGGTTGCAATGAACCAAACTCATGCCACTGCACTCTAACCTGGGTGACAGAGTGAGACCCCCATCTCAGAAAAAAAAATAATTTTTAAGTCAGTGAAAACAAAGCTTTATTTTT